ATAAAGGTTAACTTCAAAATATTAATTAAACAGTTGTACAAATGATACAAAAAAATAGTACACCACATAAGACTGTATCTAAGTTATAACGTTATAAGAAGCTGAGTATTTTTTTTTCTTCTAGTCTATAATAAAGTTGTTTCTTTATAACTTTGTTTAAGACGTGTGTTAAAACAGGATTACCCCTAATTTGTTTACAGTTATTTTAACAAAGCAAACACCTACTATATGTAAGGTTCATTAAACAGTTACTTCATTTATGGTTTTACTAATAAGAACATTATTTCACAACATATCAAACATGCTTTGCTGCAACCATGATAATACCGTTTTCAAGAACACCTCGAAAAATGCAATAAAACCTGCCCACAATAGTAACACACTAGAGTAAACTTACAAAATCTCTAATTGTGCATTTTATTAAACAAATGATTAATATTTCAACAAGATGAGTTGTTGGTGTTTAAACTAACGAAAGAAGCAAGTGTTTGTGTATGTTTGATGTTGTGGCCAACACTGTTTGCCTTCATGTCGGTTGCGTATTTGCACCAGTTAAATATAAAGTTCTGAGTACAGAAAGGTAAGCATGATTACATTTATGAAACGAAATTGTAGTGGTTCAAATTGTTTTGTAGTTTCGCATATAAACCACTCTTTATATAAAATTTTTTCAGATTCAACTACTTATGTGTTAATTCATTAAAACTTCTTTGAAACTAAATTAGTCGTCTATGTAATCGATAAATAAAATCGTTTGATGACTTGTGTGTTTGTGAACACTGATCTATCGCTTTGTGCTATTTTGATCATACATTGTAATACTAGTTAGTTGTCAAAACCATTTGATAAAATTATCCTGACTATAACAGACGAATTCAACTCATTTGAAAGAGGCCAAACTTAGACCACGTTTAGGTAAACGCCATGCTTTGATAGTAGACTACGGAAGCATTTTTGAAGGGTTGCCGGCGGTCTTCAATTATGCTAAGCAGGCTGGTCCTCTGATCACAAATTATGCACATACATTGCCGAGTTGACGGCCTAAGTGAGTATTACTTTTCATATTGGCCAATGCAATTCTCACCTATGCGATGATGTATATCGTCTTGCTTGCATAAGTAGTAATTGAATTGCAGAACTTGCATTTGAGGAAAATTTGTAAGAAACGAAGAAATTACAAAAGCGAACTTGAACGGTAGGATTTCGTATAGTAGATTTATAATCCATATTTTCTATCCCCTGAGCTGGTTCTATAACTAAATTGAAACTTTACCTTCGTCAGCCAGCTCCTGATTTGTTACAACTTGTTACGGCCGTTTCAGCATCACTGTGCCTTCAGACTGTTCAGCCAAAAGGCGTCGTGAAAACACAAAAACATATTTACACGAAACACACACATATTTGTCAAAACGGGGTTTGAAAAAAACAGGCTTGTTGAGGATAGAACATTTCCGCACTCCAGCAAGTAGCTGAGTCTGATTGACGAAACAATTGACTGACTGTTGAATTTGAAATTAAAACATGTAAAAATAATCAAACGAAATCTGTTTCAAGGGTTTATTTTCATGTAAACTTATCAGTTTAATGATGTGCATCAATACAGTATTTGAATACATTGAAAAAATGGAAAGGATGATGTGAAAAAGCTATTAGTTGGCCTACATTTTAATGTATTTTAGGATAGTGTCACATATTTGTCGTGAAAGGCGATCATATTTCCTGGTCATATACAGCAGATCATATTTCATGAAAGAACATATAATTATGGATATCCGCTTGCGTATTGTAATTTGAATAGCAATTGGTAATTTAGAAACTAATATTTTTCGCTGGAGTTTATTTGTCACGGAATATTGCACTACGCTCAATAGGTTTAATGGTTTGAATACGTGCAGTATTTAGATGAACCAGTCACGTTTGAATTTACATGTTGTTTATTCAATTTTGCATGTAAATGATAGTTAGCCAATTATGTAATAAACAAAATCCTTCATAAGTTTGAAAAATTAAATCTGGCAATGATTTTATTTTGACAGAATGTTTAAGACGTTACAAACATCTTTAAACGTGATCCGCGAGGGACATCGTCTCAGACCCTTAATCCTTTTCACAATAAGCCTAGAGAATATTCCAATAGTCCAATGTGGTACTTTGACTGTAGTATTTTTATATAATTGATGATAGTAGAGAAGGTAATAAGACCGGTTGTATCAAATTAATTAAGAATGTACTAAATAATAAAAAAATTATATAAGTAATATAACAATTAAAATATAACAATAATAGTTATATTAAACCTAAAAGTAGTGTCAACATTGTGGAATGCATATAATAAAAACGCATAAGCAATAATTATATATCATAAAATAATATCCAAAAGTGAGAACAGTGTATGTATGTTTTCACAATCAATATATACAAACTTTTCCGATTGCGCAAAAGAGGTAGAGCGGAGCCATTAACAGGTAATACTGCAAGTAGACTTTTCTTCCGGCAATGCTTAGGTGTAAGTAATATTGAGTTCATTTTGACCCCTTTCTTATGAAAAAATGTACTGTTTGCTTTAGTCTATGTTTCTCTGTTCTGTAGTCCGCCTTATTTAGTCTTTCCTTAAACTCAGTATGGTGAAAATAAGCCTACCCATGGCGTGAAAAGACACAAGGACCGTATACAGAAGCCACCTGAGACGGCAACGCAGTGCACGACTTGCAAATGTCACAGACTGCAACTTTGTACAACATTGAACGTCCGACCTCGAGGTGCAAGGCATGCGCGGGAAAAGCATGCACAGTGATAGCATGTACCATGGCTAATTGATGGGTACAAAGTTATAACAAATTATAAAATAATTAACCGCCGACTAATTGTTAGTTTTGTCCAACTAATTTATTTGTAGGATTTATACTAAAATTGAATTTAATATAGACACTAATTTTTAGTCCGTCCATGCTTTCTGATTGAACCTAAACTACAATATAAACTATACTAAATTTGATCATATAAACTATTATCTTTGGCAAAGAAGGCAGTACTACTTCGATGGTGATACGTTTAAAAGATACTAAGATAGTTTATGTATGTTAATATTCCATCTTTAATGTGTTTTGTAAACAACGGGGCGAGTCCAAAAATGTGTCCAAAATCTAGTCTCTACTTTCTAACTGGAACCTTGTCCTTAAATTGTATTATTAATTGATCGACCAATAAACAATTTGTCTACACCTGGGTCAAGAAACAATATTAACGATAACAAAGTCGCTTGTACTCGAACCATCGTCTTTGAGATCTGAAGGTGATCACTATAACTACTCACCTTTTAACCAGTCAATGCAAGATATGTTTTGGTATGCTTTTGATCGTAAAAGGAATACCTAATAACAAATTGTATTTCAATGTAAAAGATAAATGAAAAATGGAAGACTGAACAGAGGTTACACGAGTATATAAAATGAAACATCTCAAGTAATCAACGAAAATGTATCAACTTTAAGGTACTGTATGATAACAATTATGTTATCAAAGTAACAAAAGCTCCAATCATTTCAATCAATAACACTTGTTTTAGTATTAAAATGGATTATGGAAATTTAGAATAAAATATAGAATGAACACATTTTGTATATTCAAGTCACGACAGGACTGAATAGCCAGAAGCAGGGACCCTGGGGAAACCCGAGGGCTGAGTCAGCACTTCGTTTCTCTGTGGAATCAAATTCATACAAAAACATATCTCTTTTATATTTAAACCAAAAGCTTGGAAGTAAATTGCATTTGATTTAAGTTTTTTTGTTAAAACTATATGAAATTAATTTATATCAATTTATTCATCTTTGTTTTATTATATAAAATGGGAATTTGCACATACCTTTGTAAATGATTACACAAATATTATGAATATTTATAAGATGTGAGATTATGTATTTCCTAAGTACACAACTGTACTTATAAAATAATTGTTAAAGCGTTATGTAGATTAAATTAGAAATTTTAAATCATTAAATAAATAAATTAACCTTTAATTTTAAAACGTTAAACACACTTTAATTAAAACTGATTACAGTAATGCATATAAAGTCAAATAAACCATTACTATAATTGACGTTATTATTTTCTCCATAGAAACATCGATTAATGATCAATTAATAATGCCCTAGATCTGTTTGTTTGAAAATAAAATTCCTTGTTGTAATAGCTACTGCAGAGAAATGCAAACATCTAGTTTATAACAGTTCTTGTAAGTACTTTAAAATCCAATTTCAAAGAAATTGAAAGTAACTCGTGTGTTTTTAACCCTTCAAAAAGTAAGCCACCGTTTCTTCTAAAATAAAAAAATATCTGAAAAATTACGGTGACTTCTTCATAATGCTCATTAAGTTTCATACTGGCTCATTTGAGTTTTATACTTAAATACTCATCAGTTTAATAAATTGTCTAATAAAAAAATAGTTATTTTCGTCTAGGTAAAACTATGCATATTCTCATGTAGCTCTTTTCTAATCCGTTGTATTGGATTAGACTCCATTGATACGATTCTTACACATTACGTAGGCTTAAGTATTTCAAAGGTTATGGCTTTGTTATTGGCTAAATAAATTCTACTGGCTTTTTAACAAGGGCTATTTATTCCAAGGGTAAAAAAACAAGTTTAACTAGGTTCAATTTCAAACCACCAAAAAGCTTCTGACTTACTGTATATTAGCATTGATCCAGTGACCTTATGATTACCAAAAGAGCACTTTATGTTTACTTCACTGACAAAACCAACTACTTAATTTTTTGAAAAAAATAAAAATGTATTCCTAATTAAGATCAATAAAAAAAACCTAAAACCCCTGATACTATTCAAACACCGTTCTACATTTCCTAATGACAATCAATCCCCATTCATCACTCATCTATCCCAGACACCTCACTAGACGGGAGCCCAAGCCAATCATTGATTCTCACAGGTTGATGCCACAATTAGTATTTATGAATTCCTCACTCCCGCTCATCCGACCTTTGGTGTCGCAACACCGGGGTTATAACAGCGTCTCGACCTCCCGATCGCACATTCGCTCTATCATGCTTCTCAAAGTCGTAAGTACCCAATAGTTACTCATATTGGATATAAAATTTTATATTTTTGTTAAGTATTTTGGCTATGTAATAGTGGCTATGTAATTTTTTTGTTTGGAATAATAAATTGACTTAAAAATTATTTAAATAATATAATAACAGATTTTACGATTAAAATAAATTTATATACAGTCATGAAAGTATATTGGTTGAATAATTGTTTATGTTATTTTAACTATCCTACTTAAATATTATATATTTTTGTCACAAATCAATAATGTATTTAATTTAGTTTTGACATTAATGTATTGTAAAAAAATATAAATGAATGACTTACCCTTTGAAAATGTTCAGTACATTATCGTTTTTGAAATTCCTACAGTAGAAAAGGTGGTCCTTATCCTATTGCTTGGAATAAAAAAAAAATGTATAACAAACCAAAACCGGACACTAACTTACTTATTGTCAACAAAGCGAGTAAAACGTGTGATAGAGCTTTTAGTCGCCCTTATAGTTTTAGCGTTGGTTATGAAAAATTAAATTGGCTACTTTTTCGTGCAATATATCTAAAATTATTTGAAACTATTTAATTAAACTATTTGAATTCAATTACCCAAAATATTTTCTTTAATTCAAGATTACTAAAGATTTGGAATTATTTTTAAAAGGTAAAACAAATGCATATAAACAGTTCTGGTAAGTTAAATAAAAAAATACTATATTTTGCCACAGCCACGAAATAACAATTAAGAAATGCAAGAACGACACGAACAATTTAAATTCGAAAGTAATTTATTCCCATGCTTTTACCTATACACCTAAACATTGCACTTTTCATATTGTACATCGCTTTTCTTACTTTCTTTGCACTTGACATAATACTAAACAAAGAGATCCACAACCATCTAACTAAAATTTACAATATTTTGATTTACAATATTACAAAATATTGGAAAATTTTCGAACATAAAATTATTTTGTCATTGTATTTTATTAACAATGAATAGTTATGTAGTATCAAGAATAATAAACAGTTAATTGCACTCTATGTAATGCAATAAAATATTAAGATAGCTAGATCTACTATTAGCTGAGAGCAATTTTGACATTGAGCCAGAAATGCACTAAAGATTTAGTTGTGACTACCTAGCTTTGTACGAACATAAGATTTGAAATATTAAGTCGTTTACAAGCAATGGTCTTCTACATTTATGCTGTTATAAATTAAAGTACTACTAATGTCCAAAATTTGTTTTTTCTGTTAATATAAATACTTGAACCCCTATCGATGTACTGTATTACTAATAGGACTCTTTCTTCAATAAACATTTACTCACAAAACATCTTTAGTTTTGTATTATTTTACAATATATTTTCTGTTTGACAATTTTATTACAATGCTGTATTTCTTAATTTTATTCAGGTTTCATGATCCTTTGTCGCGAAAAAGTTATTACTTAAATTACAAAAACATATATAACAGTTTATTCAAATACTCGTGAGCAACATTTAAAATTAAAATTGTAATAAAAGATCAGTTAAAAAAAGTATAAGTATTTAGTGTGTTTTTAACTTATTACTACTAATTTGAATAAAAACTTCATACAGACAAATATGGATGGTGCAATAGGAAGTTACAATTGTTTTTAAACAAAAGAAATTACAAATAGTCCACAGGTTCTAATTTTCAGAAGTCTCAAAAGACGTTGCAAGTTTTTCCAATAACTACAAGACTTTTTAAGGGAATCTTATATTTGGTAAAATTATATTTCACAATGAAATAGGCCTACCACATTTACCTAATGATAGTCTTTTAGTTCTGCAAACTTTTATTTTAACGAGAATAAAGACTTATTTATATAAATTCGTACATTAACGCCCGATCAATTGTATATTTTAAAAAATTAAAATTTTCTACTCTATCTATGTAGTAGCAACTTAGATTTTGCTTCAGTAAAAGTAATTATATTAAAACAAATGCAATATACGTTAATAACGAGAGTTTAGGGATCTTTTTTATTCACAAAAATACAACACAAACAGCGTTAAGAAATAATTTAATATTACAATGTAGACGTCGTTTAAACGTACAGAGTCTTTTATCTATTTCAATTGGATAAAACATGTTCATTAAAACGAGATGCAAACTTGAAACAAACGTGAAGAGCTTCTTTCTTTAAACTCTTTACTTATAGCAATTAACTATAACTCGCATATCCCAAATTCCATGTAATAAATGCACTATTTTGAATACTGTATTTTATTTTGTTTCAATCACAAAAGTAAGTTAAATATCCAATAGCTTTTATCAAAATACTTTTTAAACTTATAAATTATCAAGACATAAAACAACATTTTACATGTAATGTGATAAACTATGAGAGATCCCAAACATCGTATATGTCACAGAACCGTGACCCATGTAACATAGTTTTCACAAGTAATGTCGTTTGGAACTGACATTAAAATCTGCTTTGAAGCAGAACACTCCAGGTCGAGACAGTTACACAAGTAATTTGGAACAGTTCCAAAGCTACATTAACTAAATATACATGTGCGACTACTGGCGATGCTCCAGTGCAGGGTTCTTAATCAAATTATTTGTATTATTCGTTCAATGTTGTAAAGTGTATTAATAACACATGACAACTTTTGCATCAAGGTGCTTAGATTGTAATAGGACTTCATTTACGTATATCCCTAGAAATGCATAATACTTTTTTAACTAAACAATACTTTGAATCTTAGGGGATTAAGCCTTGATCTAAATATAAGTTAAATGCTTTGAATGTACCTAAAAGTATAGAAACCACGTGAATTCAAACCTAATTTTAATATCCTATAGTTATATCTCGAGTTGTGTTTATAATATGATTATTGAATTATCCTTATTCGTGATGAAATATAAACTTACAAATTGAGATTCATTTGATATTTTTAGTATTATGCTTTATTTTTGATGTTTTAGACGAGTAGATATATTTCAACTGTAAAACCAGCGATGATTAAAGAAATACATTCCGCATTGTTATGTGTCTCCCATCCCTGAATGTAATGCAAATGACCCAACAATATGCAAACTCTTTGAGCAGTGTTTCATGGATAATTTTACGTAGCTAAATGGCTTAACTCTTGATTAGTAAAACAAAATAATACTCTGAACTTTTAGCCAAAATAATTATCTGCCAGGATAACGTTTCCGGATATTTAAATATTTTCTCTTACTATTAATTGTTGTTCATAAATATCAGTTAATGATTTGAAGTCCATAACCATAGAATTTAGTTGCTATTAAATTGCGTTTATATTATGGCGGTAATCTTTAATGAGTTGCATAAAAAATATAGCACTTCTTTTAATATTTGATTAAAACATTAAAAGGTAACTGTAAGAGGATCGAGAATCTCAATTACGACAAATCAATTTGCTTTAAATAAAAGAGTAATTTAATTTTTGCACTCTAAGCGGTTTAGACAAAGTGGAATCTCGTTCAGTATTAATTCTTTGCCTCAGCAATTTAATGGTAATCGATTTAAGTATCGAGGCTTGATTATCCGACTTAATGCGATGTTACGCGAACCGTGTTTTGCAAGGATTTTACCTGCAAGGATGTTTTATTTGTTCAACATTATATTCTTTACTAACTATTGTTGGTAGTTCTGTTCAATCACTGAATAACAGGATAAATTTTATTGAAAACATATTTTCTTTAGCAAAGATGCTTATTTTCTGCTAATTTATTTTACTATATCGGTATACAAAATAATCATTCACTTGCCAATTAGAGCACTTCACAAGGGAAGATAGTAGTAACTCAAATACGAGAGATAGCTATGTATGTTAGCAAATAATAATAATGCATTTTATCACTAAAATCCTTATCAAGAAGCTATTTTTTTATTTTGTATGAATCAGTTTCATACAGTGGCAAAAATATGATGCTATTCCTATAATCATAAACCTGTGGATTATTTGACAAATTTTCATAAGTATGAAGATGATCGTGGTTTTGTATCCAAAACCAAGTTTAGTCACACTAATTGAAGTAAGAGAATACTCGTAGCCGGTGTTGAATTGTTCCTCATTAGTTGAGCAAGACAGATTTTAAAGATTCTGTAGTACAGAATATACTTATTTCAGGTTCTTCTGTGCTGTGTGGCAGGAGCTTTGGCCAGACCCCAGGGTCCAGGGGCGGCAACCATAGTGAGATATGTCAGTGAAAACACAGGCATTGACGGATACAACTTTGAGTGAGTATCTAAACACAATATTCATCACAATAATTTCAAAATTATTGCAATATCCAAAGATTATGGTTTTACTATGTGTGTTATCAAGCAAAGACATTAAAGCTCTTAAGTCTTTGGAAAATAAATTCTATTCGTTGGTTATTAGCAATTTAGTTCTCTTTACAAACCAAAAAAAGAAAATCCAGAAAAATACAAGTTAAAAACATTCCAAACATGACAACACAAGTATTCTATTTGTAGTATACTAGCGTTGTTATGTTTGAAATGTTTTTAAACTTGTATTTGTTTAGTCAATATTGGAAGATTACTTAATCTAATAACCATTTAACCCTTTCAATTTAGTTTGACCAATAGACTTGAAAAAAGGGTAGGCCTACTGGTTTCACTTAATGATCTAAAAAAGGAAGTTGACCTACTGCCTACTTACATTCGGGGCTCGATATTTAAATATAGTTTATAGTAATTATGACTTGACAGATCAAATTCAAATCCTTTTAATACAACTATATTCTGTTTTGTAATTTCAAAAATATGAAACAAAGAACTACTGAAATAAATGCGACTATGATCAAAATAAGCTTTTTGCTACACCACTGTGAAACGACCTGCTTCCGTTACATATTTATCCCCTGCGAAATGTCATAATTACATTGTTTACTACGGCAAAAGGATGTTTACTCTGTGAAAGTAATGTTTAGTATCTTTTTAGGATTTTGCCAACGTAAACAACAAATATGTGTCACCTGTTTAAATTTTTAACAACCAAAACTGTGCAACCAAAGTAATTATTAACTTTAAATTAAAGGCACAACCTAGTGTTTTAATTCAGAAAATAATTAGTATTTTATTGCAGCAAAAAGCAACGTTTAAAAGACGAGAAAAAGTGGGTCTATAAATTTATTCGGCCATTTAAAGGGCTCGATAAACCTTTTCAAACATAGTCTCAAATATGCAATGACTCACTTTCTACTCTTGTTATGAAATATACTATTATGAACTGTTTGCTTTATTCCCAACATTGGCTAAACCATTGAGTTCATATTCCAAACTTTTTTTCAGGTATGAAACTAGCGATGGAGTAATCAGGAAAGAAACTGGTGTACTACAGAACGCAGGTAATGTGTCCGACTCTAAATAGCTAAGTAGGTATAAAGTTGAAAAATTGTCAAGACGAGTGTTTGCATTGATAAACACAAAGTGAGTTGATTTGAAACGTTCTAAATCCCATATAAAGTAATATTGTATATATTTAACAATTTTACATTGTAAAAGTACTACTTAATATAGAATATATAGTAGATAATATATGAAGCAAAATGTTAGTGAACTATTCAGAAAAACACAAATTCCTTAGTTTGATTTAAGTAAGTGTTTGCATGTCTGTGAATAATAACTTGTACACATTTGATACATTTGTATGGAATCTATTTAACGATTAATTGTAAACGTAATTAATTAAATTATACGGATTTATAAATAATTGTTATAAATGATGTTTTTATGCAACCCTTTTACATTCTCAAAACGTAATTTATTTTATTGCTGAAAGCTTTTTTAGACGTAAAGTAGATACAGATTTATTATTTTTACAACAAAACTCCCAATGCGGTGCCAATTGTGATGAACCACAAATAAAGTAGTAAATATTTTCTCGTCTGTAATCAAATTCAAAACACATAAGATAACTCAAAGATATTACAGTTTAAAAATTTGAAATATTTAACTGAAACTCATTACTGACCGTACGAATGCATTGTTGATTCCTTGTTTAAGTAGATATAACCTACTTGGTTATACTTGGTTGTTTACAACCTGATTAGCGATACAGAACGCTTAATTGGATCGTTAAGAATCATTATTCTGCTTTCCTCGGTGTCATGTTATTTTCCCTTTGCTTACCTAATTCTCTATCATAAGGATTTTCAAATTTGTATAAAACATTCATCCTGTACTGTATAGTATTTTTATAACCAAATATATTCCCCCTAATCAGTCCAAGGTTGTGCGTAATCACTTAGGAAGTTTTGTTTATATAAATACTAATCACGTTTCCTTGTGTACTTACCTACTGTGATGGGAAAACAAATAGACAAAATGTTGGTGACAAAACTCCTGAAATAGCATTAAACAGTGAACTAACAACTGAAATCAAATTAACCTATTATGAATAAGATTTGTTAACTTTAAAAAGTATTTTAGAAACACTGAGACAATTTTCTGATAGACCGAATTTGTTACAAAATTGTTACAGTGACTTAGTTAACTATTATAACATCGTTGTATTGTAGTCTTATGTAAAAAAATACTGTAAATATTATTTTCTAAAAGGCAAACTATAAAACGAACCGTTTGATCCAGGGACTGATATGTATAACACAGTTACAGAGCTATATACATGAATTAATAAGATTAAACTGATAGTAAGTATTTCGACTAATTATTCTTCTTTTTCTCGCCAGGGACCGACAACGAGATCATGGTAGTCACTGGCAGTGTGACGTGGACTGGCGACGACGGCAAGAAATACACCATCAACTTCACAGCGGACCAGGACGGATACAAACCGGTCATCTCGTAGATTTTGTTATTTAGTTTTTTTACGTTTTGTACAAAAAAGTAAAAGAAAAGCCTAAAGCATGTTTGTTATTCACCTTGTTTTCAACAATACTCAATAATATTGGAAAGTAAAATAGTGTGTTATCTACACTAAGATATCTTTTCGTACAGTACTACAGGATTAAAATGTCGTAAATTTTACGCCATAGTTAAAATTACATTAATGCCTATATGACAGTCGTTGGCCCCAACCTGTAAAACTTTCTATTATTGCCATAGTGTTCCATTTATAACTGATACAATGACTGTATATTAGAAAGGTTGTCAGTATTTGTTATTACAATATTACTCGTACATAAACGTCAGGTATTTAGTCTATGCGAAATCAATATGCAATACTGTAGAACTATTTCACTCATTATTTCTTACAGTTATTAATCAAAAGCACAAATAAGAGATCTCCTAAATACTTAATAATTCCAAGTACATAGCAATATAATTGTAATTAAAGAGGAAATTAGGTTCATCCCATCTTCGGAGATTGATTGAACCTACGATTTACCCATTGACTATTGGATACAGAAGTAGACATCCCATTTATATGGACCAGCTGTCGCCAAATTTTACTAAAAAAGAATGTATAAGCCAGTCAAAGAATACGATAGTGTCTAAAATTCTATTTTCTACCTTATTTTTTGCTGACATGGTTGATATAATAGTTGCATAATAGTTGCTATCGCTCACAATAGGTCATTCCATTTTAACTTGGTAAAAAAGCTTGTGTATTCGACAAAAAATAGTAATAATTTAGATGAAGGTAATCTGTCGGTGGTTCACATCAACTCAACGATAAAAAAAACTGCCTACAACTTTAACATGATAATGGAATGTCTGGGGTTTACCTAACCAATACCATATCCTTAAATATTTCTCACATGCTGTTTATTTGACTATAAATTATTCTAAGCATATATTTATTTATGTTAAGTTATGAAATCCTAAAAGAAATATGCAAATATAAATACCAAGTACCTTTATTTAGCAAGTTAAAAAACAAAGTATTCTTTGTTCGTGCAAAAATGGAACATTCAGACAGCATTCCCAACATGAAAGATTGAATTATATTTCTTATTTCTTTATCTGAAATAGAATCGTTTAGAACATTACGGTAAGATATAGTGCAGAGACATGGCAGCCTGAAAGACAGATAGTGTTTCATATGAGTCTCCAGGTTCCCGTTTACTTTAAAGACCAGATGTACTGGGTATGGTTCGTATGACAGAAATAAAACATCGACGTGTATAGTTTTGATCAAATTTGTATAATGTATAATATGCAAAATAAGAGTAACCATACGGAATTCGGTGCTACTCATATTGAATTATTGCAGTAGCATAATGTCTGTCCAGTTGCAGTTCCAAATCTCTTGCACAATGCACATGCACCAAACTGATTGAACTATCTTCAATCGTAGGCTTGCGGGTGGCTTATTTACCAAATCCACGGTCAACCGTTGGGATGCTTGTCAAATCGGTATTTACTATGTGCCAAACATCTCTCCCATTCTCTGATGTGGCAAAGCTGAAGCTAGTTTTGTACTTATTGTGAATACCGATTTTACGTGGCTACCACCAAAATAACGAAAATTTAGTGATAGGAACCATATTTAACAAAAAAATATTACCATTGCTGAAAAAAGAATAAAGATACATACAATTTACGTTTTGACCTAAATTTCTTTTTCATTTTACATGTCAACAGTAGTGTGTTCCTTCAAAGAAAATATTCATGGCTGTGGTTCTATTATTCAAGTAGTTTTTTATTCTCATTGAATATTATACTTTTAAATTACATAACACTGCATACCCCATAAACAACACTAACCTGGTCATCCGAGTTAGATACTATTTTAATGATACTAGATTTATATAACAGACAATCCTATCGGTTGGTTTTGAAGATAGTTAAATCACACTGACCACATTTCTTTAAAGTGGTTTTTAGGCTATATATTACGTACAAGATTATTACATACGAATGGAATATAATATTTTTTGGACGTATAATAATTTATCGTACATTATTGAACTTATTAGATTTGATGTTTTGCTCGACCTTTTGCAAACGTAACGCGTTCACACAGCCAAAACTTTAGATTAAAACCCAATTGTGGTGATTGGTTTAGATGAGGTAATATTCGGGTTCTCATACATTTTATTTATTGAAATAATATTAAAAGCTGAATATACTTTCATAACGAGTAAACAAAAACCTTAAAACTAACCTTAGCTGACAAACTAGAATGTAAAGTGAAATAATTTAATTTCAGAGAAGATTATCTTTATTTCCAATTTTAGGTATAAATATAAATTGTAGGATTCGACCCAGTTATTTCATGGATTGAAGAGATAGACCGATTGACATAGAAGTCCCAAGAGTGATGAGGAAAACTGTCCCCAGGAAATATGTATTTGACATTAACCAGAAACATCTCCATCGAGACATTTTTTTGCATTGACCGAAGCTCTTTTGAAATGATTATATAGTGTTATAAACATTTGGATAGATTCATGTTTACAATGGACGTTATTATTTTCATGAATTTGATCTGTATAAAAAAAATGTTATCACTATATTTTATTTATGATGAGTTACCAGAAACAATAGATTGATATTTTTCAGGTTAGTTTTGAATCCAAACTATCCGTACAGTATGTTTAATCATTATAATACTAAACATTATAAAAATCATTTACTTTTAAATTCGTTCTTTTTATCTAATAATTACGTTTTTTTTTTTAATAACTTAAATTTCTATTAAAGATATAGCTTTAGTTGTATAATGAGCATATCTATAGGTTTAATAAATACGTACATATCCTCTACATCATGTACGTATCCTTATAAAATAAACCTAATACGTACTCAAAACGTTTTTTAAGCGCTAAATACAATTATTACAACTCTTTTAATGGAGGAAGGGCTCTAATGTAGAAAACCTTTTATATAGCGTGAAAGATATTTATATCGTATTTTTACCTATTATGCTGACTTACAGAAGGGTAACCTCCCAATCACTGGGCCGCGTTATTACGATAATGTATATATTTTTGTAGCCATCGTGTAGTGGAGGAATGAAACTCAGGCCCCAGGACAGAAATCCTTTAGACAAACCGCACCCTTATTAGTGGAAAGTGTTTTATCCAAAATTTATGTTTTGTGTCAACTGAATTGTGTTTCTCCTACAAAACCTTTACAACATGAATTTAAAGTCTGTACATTTGTGATTCAAATGGTATGTAATTCTTATGGTAGTCTAGTAGCCTGTCTCAAGGTGTTTTATATGTAGCATTAATGCCCCCCCCCCCAAAGGACGCTAGGCACAAGCCCAAGATTGTTTTTCACATTACTTCAGGCTAGATCTAGGGGTTGCGGCATTATCACTTAGATAAAATCAACTGGTGATTTGGCGGGATTTTAACCCGGGCTCTAACCACTAGACCAGCTCGCTCCCATTTGTAGCATGTGCATTTGTAGCATTAATGTATGAATTATTCAAGTGCCAACACTTAAAAAATTACTGTCCTTTAAACTCATCCCATCAAATTTACTATTTACAAATTAAAAACAACGAAAATGTTCTCGTAACAATTATTAAGTCTATTCGCATACAAATTAAAGTATTAAGTTACAGGTGTTTTGCAAGGCAATAATGCAATTTGCAGTGTAATTTAGAGGTCAAAGGTTACTTGGGTCTGATGGTCGATGAGCAACGGTCAAAGTAAGCGCAATTGGACAACTTATAGCTGTTAATACATTGAATATTGCTTTATTGGCCAATCATATGACCCTTGCAATTTCTTCACTTATGAAATATTGCGATAAAGGTTATGCTGCACAATAAAAAAAATTTTTATAAACTAGCTAAATTTTAATATTTTTAGAAACATCTTTGTGGACATAGAGTAAGATTGTTTAAAAGGTAGAAAAAGAGTTTGAATAAGTATTTCTCGAAAAAAGAGTATTGAATGACAATTAAATGGATTCTGAATATATTAATTCTAAATTCACCACCCGTAGAAAAATTAACAATTAAAGGTCGAATTGACAATGACGCATAGAATCCATGATTAAGAAAAAAGAAAATTTGATAAAAAATACTACATACTGTACTTTTTACTAAAAAAACACATTAATTTAAAGCGCCAACGAATATTAAGTGGCCCTTTAATTTTATTAGAAGTTGATAAATAGGCAATTAAGTTTTAATAATTAATAAAATATATTTAAAAAAACAATTATCTAAAAGTAAGTTTATTTCAGTTTTTCATAACTAAAGATTATAGATAAAAATCGGTTAATCAAATTACAATAACCTACAATATGGAGCACTCAATTCAAATCAAATGAAACTGCAACTGTGAGATAGATGTTTGAAGACAGCATTTAGCATGCGTTTATGTCAGTTGCCTTTTTCTTCTATCACAACTTGTCTTAGTGACGACCGTACGTCAAAGTGAAATGTCAACCACCCTGACACGGATGAAACTGTGTTTTATGTTGGATTCACCAGCTGACAATACGTCACTAATGATCCTTGGACTCTCCTCTGATCAAGCGGGTCATGGAAACAATATAACCGTTTTACAATCCAAACAGACGTTTATTTTATATATATTACATGTTTTAAAATTCATGAGATGAGTCATAAGGCAAAATATAATAATTTATTTTTATTTTCTCTGGTTTGACCTAAATGAAAAGCATAGCTTTAAGAGTATATAGGTCAAATTATTCCACTCTAATTCTGCAGTACCTACAATTAACCTTAACATCTTGTAACATCTCTCTACACTATCAACAACAACCTATCAGATATTAACCTACAAGGACTACACTTTTATTAATGACTCATCACATGACAAAGTAGACACAGCTGTTTAACCTCATCCACAAATTACTTACAGATTTACGATAATCGTAAAAGTTGAGATGAGGTAAGAAATGGCGGGAAGACACCGGGTTGGCCAATTGTGACCTCAGGGTTGCTTCAGAGGGCCTTGAGGCGGGTAACTGTACGTACATAGGTGCGGCTTTACTGCAGGTGTCATCATGGGTTTAAATACTTGCTGGCCAGATGCAGAAATATTTGTCAATCACCAACTTGAGGAGATCCATGTTTTTTCTTATGAAGGTGCAAATAAGGTGAACTCAAAACCACTTGTTTGTATAGATACAGACAAACCCAAGCATGTATAATTTGACCATGGGATATTGGTGATTTTTGGGAGTTGAACCATTACCTTTGGACGATAAGCCCAGCTCAGAAGAATCACCCCGTCTGGTGTTGTCCCTTAGTGTCCATTATTTGTATGTGGTATTAATTAACAGCTATGTCTAAGGAGTACGTCGGCCTTAGTCACTAACGAGACTACAAGATCGCGCCACTCCGTCCTACACTCATCTCCTGCTTAAAATACCTACGTTCTATTGTCGCCATTTTAATGAATACTATTAAAGTATGTTTGGTTTGGGTTGTTGTGGCGAGTGTAATATTTGATTAGTTGTTCGTGTCGTTGTGGGAATGTTTAGGGCAATGTGTGAGAATGGCTGTACCAGGTGTCAGGCAGTTCAAATGATGTTTCATTTCTAATGGTATGTTTTTACATTCAAACTGAACGGATAAATGTGCGCATACCGTTTCTCCTCAATGATTTCATATATTTCCTTCTTTTGCTATCAATAAATTTTTTTGTTAAATTACATTTTAGTTTCTTTTTAAATGTAGATTTTATTGTTTTACTGTTCAGATGATGGACTCGATTCCCAACCACAGGCAAACTAGACCATTGAAAAATTCTTTTCAAACTTTGTTTCTAGTTTTTATTTGTATCTACTACTTTGTAATAAAATAAAGCAGGATTCTTTAATTCAAATAGCTTCCAAACGAGCCTTAAGTATCGATGCTCCATTGGTAATTTGCCCTTTTTTCGAAGAAAAACATGGCAAAGCTAAACTAAATAATCTGCAATCATGTATTTGTTGAACACCGGCGACTTTAGTACGTATTAATATTAAATGGTTGCGTGTTTATAAACGATTTGTTATCGTGCCAGTTTTAATTAGACGAGCTTTGTTCTCAGCGTATTGGCTAGAGGATTACCAAAGCCAATTTTCCTCCGTTGCTAAACCATCCGAAACCTAGCTTGATTATAATAGTTGGCCTTGTAGGTGAGTATCCAATAGTAAAACCTAATCACATATTATCATCCCATCACAGGTAATCGCATACTGTACTTAGATTTGATTTTATTTACAATAAACTGTGGTATAATGAGTGTAATATCAAATCGTAAACCACTTTAATAGCTTACTTTTATATTTAATTACATACTCAACCTTTAGGTTCAACTGTGCATCGTATGACTCTTTCCGTCAACAAACCCAAGACAGTGTGCTATACCATTGTAGCAGAGTGGTTATAGATCATGCCTTAATCTCATCACTTTAATCCTATTGTCAATGTCAGTTTGATTGTTCAATGTTTCAATAGTTTTTTTAGAAAAGGTTTTAAATTATTTTCATCCCTATTTACAGGGTGTTGAAAAACGTACAAAAATATACCTCGGGACGTTTTACTGCAAAGAGGTAAAATTCCATCTAGGTTTGAAATTTCGATAACACCTTAATTGATAAATGAGCTTTCGAAAAAACTCTGGTTTCAACCCTTTTCCTAAGATTTACTTATGTTACGCATTTTCAAACATTTTGAAGTTTCAAAAGCTGTCGTCTAGGCCTCGATTAAAACTGATTATGTCTAAAAAATAAAATACCATTACATTGGTAATCTTAGAAGATTTCTATATGTTCGAATTCTGTTACATTACTATTAGTTTATGTATTTTTATTTTATAGTTTCTATTATGTTTTCTTTTCATTTATTTAACTTATTACTTATTCAATTAAACTTAGTACCTCGCAAAAATTTATGAGTTTATACATATATTTTTTTTATAAAACAGATTTTTCGTTATAAAAACACTCTCATAACTCGAACACGGTCTAACATTCAAATCCATTCTACTGCGATGCACTCATCATTAAGTATTTGATGATGCATGGCAAACAAATAGAAAATAACACTGAATACAAAGTTGATTAAGAGCAATGCAAACAGAGACGACCGTGGGAGTGTGGGTGGATATTATGGGGGGAGTGGGGCAGGGGGGCACCGGTACCGGCTACAACAGTGACTTCGACCTTTGGTTACGTAAGGGCTGAAGCTGGTATATCTGTAGAGAGGGCAGCAACAGGGTCAGTCCTGCTCCAACATGCTGACAAGGCTGGTGAGTACATAGAGTATGTAAATAAGTGACTTGTATAGAGTATACACAGATGTGGACAAAGGGCATTTTTGGTAAAACCATCACAAATAAATGGAGTAGTTAAAAATGTTTAAAACTTTACACAGTTATAGTTAGGTAGGCCTAATCATTTGTTTTAAAATATTTGTTTCTTATTGAATATAAAAATGACTGTTGATAAATGAGATAAATTGTTTACATTTTACATGATGAACACATTTTGTCTGGGTTTCTAATAAAAATTATTAATAACTGAATATAAAATATTCAAAATAAATTTTACCTTAAGATCTTTAATGGTAGTTGAAACAAATATGCTTTGAAATACTCTGGAGAAGGGTGAAGTTTAAAGTTGTAGGTTGGAGGGGCAATGATGTATGTCGTAAATGGTACAGTAAATGTTTAAAAAGCATAAGTGCAAATGATATGTTTTGTTTAAATTACAAGTTATGAAATATCTGGTACTGTAATGTTAATATAGAGTTACTATAAAATATATTTAATTGCCCCTTATCAAGTTTTAAAGTGTTTAAGGGTAAAATTAATTTAATATATATAGTTAAAATACTGAGTTTCCTGTAACCTAATCTCCTTATACAGCTAGAAAATTGAAATTAAAACCTCAACCCGTGGAAAAAAATTGTTAATAACTTATCAAATTGTACTGAATTAATTTTTGTACAATGGGATACTTCGGGCGACACTTAGAGCATTATCATTCTGACAGTTGTTTACTCCTAATAACAATTGTACTTGATGATTACTAGTTTTTGATAGCGATCAAAAGTATAATATTCATTTGGAAATTTGCAAACAGTTGACTCAGGTCATACGGATTCGCATGGAAAAATAAATTGGTGCAAAATGTTAGCAGTAGGAATCCTAATTTAGTTCGACAAGATTACAGAATATACACTATTCTATTACACCTATTTATACTAAAAATCTTAAGGGGTACAAGTTGGCTGTTTTTCACCTACAATATCCTACAAATGAAAAAATGCGTATGTGATTGCCTTGTATAGCAAAAAAACAAATATAAAACTATTGGTAATGATGTTTTATAATTCTGATTAGATCCTATAAGAAACTAACAAAACACTGTTTAGTCCCTACTAAAAAAAAAATAATATTTACGTATAAAGGTTATATTTTAACTTTTAATAGCTTTTTAAACTCTGTAAATAAAAAAAATACACAACCTATCATCACAGGGTGAGAATTAATTGAAAGAGGAGATTCTAAAGTTTTGTTTGACACCACTTTGGTAAACACAGTTGCAAAATTAACCTCTAAAGACATTTTTAGATGTTAACTACGATTGTAAATTTATTACACACTTCTACCTCACTGAATCTCAAAACTTCATACTGTACGTTGAATTGTCAAAAGTTTTAATTGTGCCACAAGGGGTCAATTAGTTCTACAATTTACCGCCCAGTTGTGCACCGTTACTGTAAGCTACGAGGAACATGACTTCGAAAGAGCACAAAGTGTTCTATGTTTTAGAGTTTCATTGATTTTGAATTGTGTAATTATTTTAAAATTGTAGTTAAAATGTTAAAATGTCCGTAGAGGCTAATTTTGCAACTGTTTACCAACGTTTACCAAAGTGGTGTCAAACAAAAATTTAGAATCTCCTCTTTCAATTTTGATTTTTACCTTGTGATCATAGGTTGTATAATTTTTAATTTATAGAGTTTAAAAAGTGTAAAGATAATTACCTTGTGTTGAGTTACCTTGTATAAGTATGTAAAATAAGAAAGTGATTTATAAAAACTTTTTTAGATATGAAATTAACCTTTTCCTAATATGTTTTCCCGAAAAAAAACGAGAATTATTTTAGTAGGCAGATTTTGTGTAGGAAAACACATCTGATCACAAATCCTCAAACAAACAATGCGCTTTATGATTCTCACACTCATACTTTAAACAATGTACACAGTAAGGCTAAGCATTGCGAGGGAACGAGATAGTGGCAATTGAATGACCTGCGCTTTCAGCCATGAAGGTTTGCATGTTTTCAACATTATAATTAGCCTGTCAATGGGATAGGTACACTTCGAGTGTGGGAAACCTAGCTCTTCCCAAGTGAGCTATGCTGCTCGCTGTAAGCACAAATATTTAAAATTGTAAGTTAAAGATGTCTGTATGTATATTGTAATGTGTACGCAACGCACTTTTTACATTACTAGTTTTAAAAGCATTTAATTTTATCCCCTTGATCTGTAAATAAATTTTTCTCTTGTACTTTGTTTAACAGATGTTATTAACATATGTTATATTCATTATTAATTTTGTAAACAAATTTCAGTAATTCAATACACATTTTTTTTTCACATCACAGTGTTTTTCATTTAATCTAAATTTTTTCTATCAAATATTTATTTCAAGAAGTTCAATCACAACAAAACAAACAACTAGGTTACACATTGTTGTGATAAATCTACGCATACTGTTAGAAAAATATTTACCTGTAGATGTGCAGAATACCTTAATAAATTAAAATAGGCTGAAAAATAAGAACAACAAATAATTTTAAATTAAACTAATTTACATTTACCTATGTGTTGCCATGCTGGCGGAGAAATAACAACGAAATATATACAGAAAATACAATACAAAGGGAAGAAATTCCAATCACGTGTTTTATTTACAGTGTGGAGTGAAAGTGGATAAGTCTGTACACTGAATATCTTTGGTCAAGTTTTCGACCAAGAGGCAACCTCTAGTATACTAGAATTTTTTTAATTAGGATTAGACGTATTGGACTGTTAAACACTGTTTAAATTTTCCCCATTAAATGTATTGGTAAATATTGTGGTATGAGCTTATGCAAACATATAAAAGGAAAACAAAATTAGATGATAAAAAGTAATTTCAAGCCACATAAGTTCAACCTAAGGTTAGTATTTATACGGTCACGTTAGGCTTTTGGTTGTACTTTTATGCTGCGTACTAAGCCATCTAAATATACATATCACTGAAATAAAAAGTAGGTTGTAATGTTATAGCAAATACTAGCTCAAGTTATTGACAACTTTTTACAGAACATAATTTTGAATCATACAACAATTAACTTTAATTAATTATAGGGCATTCAATAAATATATTAAATTACTCTACATAAACCCCACAAGGCAGATAAATTCTTCAACGTGTTGCATTCAATTTAATAGAAAACATTTGTCAACAAAAAATCCACTTATAATGGACATCTAATTCAACTAAAGTTATTTACTCATATTTGTTTTGTTTATTGAATGCAAATTTCAAATTCCTCAATCTGTTGCAGGTTTTGGTCTGCTGCGCCGTCGCTCTCGTAGTGGCCCGACCCCAGGGCGCCCCTAGGCCACCTGCCGAGATCTTGGAGTACGAGAACAACAACATTGGAGTCGACGGGTACAACTTCAGGTAAACATCAAATTAATAATCATGAGACTCTATAAAATATCATGAGACAAGTACTTCCGAGGATGAAGTCCTTCCTCATAGTGAGGAGTATTATTCATTTGTTCAAAATAATAGGTTTTCGACTACTCTGGCTAAAGAAGGAGTGGATCTTGGTAAAAAAGGCGATCACCTCTATCCGGTCTACACCCATATTTCACTTACACAACCCTAAAAACTAAGCCCTCTAGTGTGTTGACGTCGTAGTTAATCGATTAAATACAAACCTTTAATAGCACGTCTGAAATGGAATTAAATTAAGCTAAATTAAATTTTTTTTTAATTATTCAGGCAAATTTAGGGCCACATGCCCATTTCTTAAAGTTGTCATAAACCGTTGATGTAACAAAAAAAATTGTTATACGGAATATGAATACAAAATGAAATAAAGATTTTATTAAACCAAAACCTTCAAAAAACAATTTTACTGTGAAAAAGACGATTTAACTAATACCTATATTTTTTATTATTTCATGTTATCTTATTTACGCTTGAATAATGAGTTGATCATAGAGTTTTATTGTATATTGGACAATTTCATAGCAAAGTGGTTTTGCAACATAGATCATAATGACATATTCACGTTTTGTGAATAAACTAATAAAATAATAGTTTTTAGATTGATCCTGAGTTTATTCGACAGACTAGTGAAAAGCTCAAACTAATACAACTCTTATATAAAACTGTAAAAAACGTTTGATTATTAATACTGCACAGTACATAAAATTCCATCTCGGAAATTTTACCAACCAACTCGTAACCACAAATACTTACCATGGCTAAAATAAAAGAGAGGTAAAATAAAATATCCACCTCTGATATAAAACAACGTCACACACGTTGATGCAGTTAATTAATATTCCCTGACGGACGGTATTTAATTTTATGCTTGAAACCCCACAATTATAAACGTCAAGGTTCATGTTTCATTATTTAGTTATAAAAATAACATATTATAATATGGTTTTCTTGTGCTATTTAATACACTGAAACGAAAGCAAAGACTTATTTTCTAAATTTAATAAAAACAACCCTTCACCCCCACAACCTCAACTATAATGAATGTTTTTCACAACCATTCATTAATTTAATTTGTATAAGGTAAACGTTTCTTATGGACCAATTATTTAGTACGTGAGGGAAATTATAAATAAACTCTATAAGGATTAAAATATGTAACTGTGTTAGTACTTTTTTGTTTACTGTTTTACATACGAGAAACAAGGCTGTGTATCCAGCCCCAGTCCAGGTAATTTTTCTTTTAGGAACAACATCGCTTTTGTACTAAAAAGTTAAAATACTTATACAGTACTGTATAACATCAAACAGTGGACTCAAACAACACAGTGAATCAAACAGTGTGGACTTGTAGTACTGTCTTCAGTGGATCCCAATGTAGAATCCAAATAACTAATCCCAGGTTTCAAGCTTTTTATGAATGGGTACTTTACAAAATTAATCATCTTTATTGCTAGAGTCGTGAAGAGTCGTTAAAATCACATAGTCTACACAAAAATTCGGGCACAAAAAAATAAAATATGTTCGTCCAATTGTTAATAATACTGTTTTTTAACTCAACAGTACATCATGTATGACCTTACACAACCGACTAATTTTGGCACTAAAACGAGGTTAAAAAATCCACCGAATTGTATACACACTAAGGATACTTGACTTGATGTGTTTTCCCAGATTGCATAGGTCATAAAGCAATGAAGACAATCCGCAAACAACGGTGAGGCAATGCAAGATGATTGCGCATATGGCACAACTAGTAGGTGACGCAGCATAACTCGCTTTATAAGTAACGCCAGTGAATAGGCAGTACATCACATTGCGACATCCGCCACGTGAGCGCATGCGTGTTTTGTGCGCAAGTGCGTAAGCAGACGATAATGCTTGGTGACCTTTACATTTGATTTGAGTACTACGTGTGCATTGTTTGACTCTTAATTATGAAATTGGTCCCTGGATAGTTTGAATGAACAAAAAAATTAGTAAGGTGTGGTAATGACTCGGTTGTTTTTTGTAGTTAAATCGGTTACTGGTAACTTGAACCTTGTTTTGTAAATTTGATTTTGGCGAAAAAAAAACTCAAGTTTTACTTAGAGAGTATATCTTTGTTGTATAATGACGTAAATGAAATGTAAATGACTATGCGAATAGCGAATACATGTTTTAAATTTAAGTTTGCACTATTCAAACGTTTAGAGAATAAAAGTGTGTGAATGTTTGCGATACTAAATGTTAAATTTAAATGTTATAATTTTGAAAGGACGACCACTCTGCGTGAAAAAATCAACCAGTATTTAGGGAAGAACGTATGTATTTTCCTCATAGGAATATAACCGGAGATTTCTAGGCTTAAACCAAACGTAGTGTAAATATGATACGATTCCATCTTTACACAAATACAGAAAGATGCCAGGATACGTCAGAAGGTCAGTAATACAAGTCAAGTGATAGAATTAAAAAGTGTCAAACTTTTAATATATATTAAAACTTTTTAAAACATATACTTAGATACCTCTTGGCGAAATGTTTACCCTTAAGAATTGTTTCCCTGCGATGCATAAGAAGAAGCAGCACACAACTGTAGCGTGCTTCTATTTATAAGTACAGTATTAAATGTTCTGAATATTGTACACACAGTGATCCAGAAATAAATTCTGTTTACAAGTTTGATCCAAATTTCAATATTTTGGCTTTGCAAACTTCTGCGGTTTTGGGTAGATAATCAGAATAAAATAACGTAATACGTCCAAAAACTTAGACCGTACCACAAAAAGCGTCAAAGTACTTTTAATGAAAAAATGTCACAATATTCTAAACTAGGCTTTAAATTGAATTAGTGTAATATTCCGCATAAATATAACTGTATTATTACAACTTATAGCCATTAAAGCCTACTCAATATTCTGCATTACACCAGGCAGGACAGTTATAATTTAAATGCTAATTAGTTGGAACCTAATCACCTATCCATCCTAATATAACAAGCAAATGATGACTAAATGATGCAATCGTTGTAAAAACTGCCGCAACATCGTTAGGTTTCAAAATGATGACGCTATATTATGCGTCCTGAATGAAACCGGCTTCTTCTGCACTGTTTGACCATCAAGTAAGTTACAAGATTGTGTAAATCGGTGAAAGGGATTTCATGACCTTAAAGATAGGTCAAAGATAGATTCTATGTCTATTAAGTTGTTATCTGGAAGGTTTTAAGAACAGCCTTTAACTATTTTAAATGTTGTTAGGTAATGAGTATTTATGTGTTGCGGTTTCAGTAACCACAAAATATAGCCTAGGGTGTTTGAAACAGCTGATTGTTTATAGTACTCGATTAACAATAAGAATTCTTGATCATAATAAACTTCCATTCTTTGATGGTTTGAAATTGGACTAACATGTTCTTGGTTCATTATATATCATTGAATAGTTCTAGCTAAAGCTAAACTCAGCAGGTCTTAGTCAGTTACAACTACAAGTTACACTTTACTGCTTCCACTCCAGTATTTACCCTACATAAGCCTAAAATATATGCATATAAAGGGAGGTAATTGTCTAGTAAAATGTTTAAGTGATTACATTGCAATTGAATTAAAATTACAAGCTTTCGTAAGCGTATTGATGGTGGTTGTGTATTGTTTGAGTTGATTTTGACAAATGACGTCACAAATTTGTTAACAATTGAATTAAAAACTTATTAACACCAATCTTTCATAGTTATAATAAAAATACCTTAAAATCTTTTCTTCGAACAAGATTAAATCCAATTATAATATACTGTGACGTTAGTACATCTTGGACTACTTACTGGCAGTATGTTTACCTTTGTTAACGTATAACTAAGATTTAAAACCCTTTTAGCAAATACGCATTTATTACGCAAAGAAAACAATTATTAGAATTTAATATTTTTGGTATTAAAATAGCATACTGTCAGGACCCTAACGCGTGGTCCTGACAGTATGTTATCATGATACAAAAAAAAATTAAATTATAATAATTTTTTGTAAGATTGTATAAAAAAGACTAAAGTTTTCTATGTCAAAAAGTCAAAGTTATACACGCTGCTTTTAAACGTATATAAGAGAATTATATAAAAAGATATTTAAAATATAGATAAATATTTGAATATGTTTAATATGTTGAATATATATAGATCAAATATTTAAGAGAATCTAATGCAACATTTAAGCCTTCAAGGTAAAATTGATTACTACTTTAGTTAATAATTTTCAGAAACTGACCTAATTGCTTGGTATTAGACTCCAGTTAGGTACACTAGGTAAATAGACATCACACAGTCACTCTTATTGCCTCTTAATATATCAGAGGAAACACCAATCGTAACGTAAAATATACAGTACAATAACACTTTTAACAAAACAATGCCTGTCACTATTGCTCATAGCGAATTTTTCAACGTTACTGAAGTTAAAATAACACCTGCTGGTATGACTTTTCCTATATTTGCTATCTTCAGACCAGTGATATAAAAGCATTGAAATAGTCGTGTAAAAATGCCACAATGTTGGTAATTAATTCGTAACACAAGAAACGTTTAATTATAATATAACTTTATTAGTCACAAGTTTACTGACCACCGAGGGGTACAACACAGTAAACGAGTATGTTTATTTGACCATTATAAATACATTTACACATGCAACTGTTATTTATTATGAACCTATTATTTGTCACAGGTTCCAGACCAGCGACGGAGTTGCACGCAGTGAAACCGGAGTGTTGAACAACGTTGGAACAGAGAACGAAGCCATGTCCGTCACTGGTGACATCAGCTTTACGACTGACGACGGCAAGAAAGTAACCATCAAGTTTGTGTCCGACGAGAACGGTTACAGACCCGTTGTAACCACTTCGTAACCAGTTCCAGCCCGCTCAAATGTTGTAATATAAACATCATGTATAATGTCACTTGTACAGATATAAATATTTTTTTCCAATCGCTTCTATTCCTTGAAAATTTTCATTTGTTTATGGTATTTCCGTCAGTGTATAAGCTAAGAATACGAATAACTGATATGCTAAATGAACTTATTGAACTACCTATATGCAATATCCCAGAAGATTTGTCTTAGGTAACTAATTAAAAATAAATCCTAGGCACTATGCAGTAAAATAATTTAAACGTACTGTTTGGATGATTTCACTCATTTCTTGTATTTATTATTTTATTGATAAATGACTTCAGGAAAACTGGGTTGCGCCTTGCATTGTGCTCTCTTGAGGTTTTTCATTCACTGTTCAAGTTCTCTCTAAGTCTTGCACTATCATTATATTAGGTAAAACTATGATTTTGGAACTATTTAGTTAATTACTGAACGTAATGTAAAAATATGTTTCCTCAATATTTATAAACATTTACTTTGTGCAAGATGAGTTAATATTTAGATCAACTAACCTGACGTAAAATATCTTGTTTATACTAGAAAAGATTTTTTTGGAATTGTGGAATTACTGTTTGGAATTAAGAAAATACTATAAAATTAGCTAAACTAAAACAAAATATAACTAAGACAAATAAGGAGTTCTTCATTGAAAACTTACTACAGTATTAAGGAATAAATAACTAAAAAATATTAACAAATATTGACTTTAAATGTTTAACTATTGAGCTGGAAAACTTAGTTTCATAATTAAAAAATTTGCTAAAAAATAATGCAGTCTGGTCAAATATATCCTTCCAATTGAAAAAAGATCACAATACAAAACCACTTTAATATTCCACGTTGCAATTTCCTGTTGTGAATAATGAATGAAGCATAGCGTAACTCTAATTGTTATCTAGTGGTTTTGCTACAATCAGCTGTTTTCCAGTACAAAACGTGAAAAAAATCCTACATTAAATCTCACATGATTTGAATAATTATGTCGCTAAACAAGATAAATTTATTCACCCTTCTCAATAACCCACCCTAGTGACGAGTCCCACACTAACGCGGTAGTGATTGAGTTCTTATACTGATCAAAGGCTTGGCATTTCCATAAGCCTATCAACTTGCAGTTCCCCACGGAATGCCTCATAACAGATTAGAGGTGCATCTATAATGGATGAGTGCAAATTGGTGGCCGAGCTTAATGAGGCGAATAATGACATGGGGCATACACTGGGTGTCAGGAATAGATATTTGAGGGATACTAATAGTTTGTGTTTGTTGAAAGTACAGGACGAGATAGTTAGTACATAATTTACTTTTGGGAACCTGAAATGTACGGAAACCTACTTAACGCAATCGGTTACAAAGGACTGGTTGGATCGGTGGCTTTTTAACTGGTTAAAATCCATCCCACCTGCCCTTGATAATTATAAGACTTTTAAAATATAATTCCAGTTAATATAGTTCCAAAGAAGCATACCTTGTAATTAATAAAAAAATCATTATCGTATCTCTCAGTATTATTGTTTATTTTACTTTTTTAAATCTTTGTTACATGAATACACTCTAATTAGTTTATAAATCATAAATGTAACGGAGAAACTCTGTTAAAAACTCAGAAGCCAAGTATTTGATGGAAACCTCATCTCTAAGGATTACCTCCAATTAAATTTCAAGTCTTTAAGCTCATAATGCAGTTAAAACCAGTGCAGTTAAATTACGTATGTAGTTTCTAACAATGATGTCAACTTTGTTTTAATTTGTAAAAATACGACTTGGTTTATTATTTTTTTTATTTACTTTATAATTTATCCTACCACCTATTAACCTCTTAAATATCCGCCTTTTTCAGTGGGCGGAAACTTCAAGACATATAATGTACAGTATTCAATAATCTATAGTCCATAGGGTTCTTAAATCTCATGTTCTAGACTCCCAGCATAGTACAATGTAATCTAAACTCATGTTAACGGTGTTATGTCACCTGAGCTAATAAGGTATGTACCTGTTTGTGTCGAGTAACATGCATTGATACTGTAGCTTATAGTAGCCATTGCAGTAATATTGCTTTCAAAGCTAACAATGTATACCCTTATTATAAGGGCACAATCGATAATGGCATAATATATTTTTTAGATACAAGTCTAGATAAAGGACAGGATTAGATGTGGTTGGCTCCTAGGATTCAAAACGCCCCTCAACGTTTGGAACGACCACATCATACTACTCGCGAAACAAGAATGGTTGAAAACACTTATTCTGTGTTGAAGCGCAACCTCTTCAACCGAAAGCTAAAATATTATACGTAAAACATAAATTTCTTAAACAATTCAAAAACTTCCATCCGGTAAAAGATTTTAGACCACTCACTATACCTAATTTATGTAATTAATTGAACATATTATGTAACTGTAATTACTTATTCATTAGTTTAGTTTTAAATTATTATCACGTCCTCACAGCATGTTCTAACTTACTTAGCTAAAAGTAAACTCTTTAAGTAATGACTTAGTAAGATTAATCACACTGAAGTGTCTACCCTCGTGTCTTGAAGGCTGGTATTTTACAGTTTTAAAGTCACGCTGCACTACAAGTTTTAATTACTTTCCAAGTTTCGCCAAGTTAGACCCAGCAACACCTGTGTAACGTTTTCTCTTCCATACATTAAACTCGAGGTAATTACAGCTATTTAAGGACCGTATGTGACTGTTAACTACTTGCACTATATGGTTTTCTAATCAAAAGTTAAATCATTAAATGTTCAATACAACATCAACCAAATAGTAATTCAGCTATTGCAAAAGACCATACGACTATTCATTGAGTTGAATAAAATACAATAGAAGTAATTTTGTCAATTCACATACAATATATTTTACATTAGTAAATAATACAAAAAAGTCGGATACAAAGTTTTAAAGGATATGTTATTATTATTTTATCATTCCCCAATTGACTTGGTAAAGTCCGAAGTGGCTGTTAAAGTTTTTATTTTACTGTACTGGTAGTAAGAACGAAATTGTCGGAAAATGCCATTCGATGGTTTAGAATACTCACGAAAACAAGTTTGAATAACTAAAAATCATCTTTTTTTTACAAACTGGAAAAGAGTTTACATTGTGTATAAAATGACTCGAAACCAAAAAGGTGTAACTGTATGGATTCGTTTTAGAGTCTTATGAAATAGAAGATAATTCGGTCATAATTAGAAATGAATGGAACATAGTATCTGGCCGATTACTTTGACCAACAAAAGTAGACCTCTCATCTACTTGTGCAATCTGAAACTTGCTTTGATTACGTTGGTCATTTTGAGTCAAATAGTTTTGTTTTGTTTCATTATAATTTAGTGTACATTTTACAGCGTATCCCTTACTCTTTATTCATATTATAAGAGCACAAACAATACTTTACAGAAATATCGTTATATTTTGTAAGCTTCATGGTTTGGTGGTTGGATAGGAATAACTAATTTGCATTAAAATTATCCTTCCCTACCATGTAAACAAGTCCTACTTGTCTTCAGCTGATACATAACGATGATAAATCGATAAGGGAGTATGTTTAGTTTAATCTATCACCCCACTGCATCAAGCCCTTAATCTTCACATTATGAATAGGTCCTAGATCAGCAAAAGTTGATTCAATGAATCGTGAGTTATTGAATCAAGTCATATGAAGAGTTCAGTGGTCTGGGGTTGGTAATTGATGAGGAGTTGACAGATTGTGGTTCGTGACTCATCGGTCATGTTAGAGTTGGCAAGCTGTCAAATACATGTCTGTTTGATACAAATACATGACACCACACTCCAATGTGGCAATATCTGGGTTTCGTAGGTAGGCTAACATTTCATCAAAATTTAGAATTTTTAAATAAATTGCGATTCTTATACACCTTTGGTTTACTAGAAAATGCTTTCATTATATTTCATGTAAAGATATGAGATCTTTGAAATCTATGGTGATGGTTTTCGGCGTCAACCGCGTCGTCAGTTGTATTTCACTGCCAGACGTATCGCCCTTACTACGAAGTGGCATCCCTCAGTGGCTAGGCTGAGAATAAGTCAGAGACGTCCGTCCAGGTATACTTAAAGACTTCTCTGACTTAGTCTCAGCCTAGCCACTGAGGATGCCACTTCATAGTAAGGGCGAAACGTCTGGCAGTGAAATACAACTGACGACGCGGTTGACGCCGAAAACCATCACCATGGATTTCAATGACAACATCCGCGAAAGCCTACGCATGAGAATATGAATGAAGTCTTTAACTAAATCCCGTTTAGTAGACCTATGTTCTATATTTTTCGCATTTTAAAGAAATTAGGAAAGATATATGTTGGCGTCCAACTGTGGAGATGAAATTAAAGCAATTTCTCAAACTATACATATACATTGGGTATTAAAAATGTTGGTATTTTAAATATTCTTCCGGTCAGGAGTAGTGATTACTGAATCAAATACTTGTAATGTCCATATAGTTCTCTTTTTTAAATAAAAAATGTAATGTAATGAAATCTAGAGTAATAATAGAGTAATGATACAGTAATAATAGAGTATTAATCCAATTATATATGTTGAATTTTACAACAAGAGCAATTTGAAAAGTTACCTATCATCATATTCCTATATTAATTTGTGTTAGTGGTAGATCTACTAGTAACTACAAGGCTAGTAGGCCTTAGTCACTGACATGACTACAAGATCGCACCGCTCATTCTGCACTCATCTCCATTCATACCTTAAAACACCAGCATTCGTATGGTTGCCATTTCAGAATCTTATTAACCATAAGAGAAGATAAATTACATTAAAAACTCTATCATGCCTCATTACACAGTCAACTGTTACAGAGTTTTTAAAGTAAATGAATCGTTGTCAGAACAGTAGACCTACATAAACATGTGTCAAGAATAAGAATATTCCGAAAACCCCTTCTTATTCCCTTATATTTCCCCTTGCTCATCTTAGATTGACAACCCGCTAATCCTACAGTAGACTGTGGAGGTATTCATCCCGTGACCCTCTCCAAGTCCATGAGTCACACCCCATCAAACGCTCATCACCCC